TGTTGTTGGTCCTCTGTGGTCTTCTGTGGAATGAACCCTTCTGTCAACACTTGCAGAAATCTTCTTCATACTTTTACATTAATGAATATGAGAGCTAACACTTTTTATGCATGTCCATCCCATCACACGACTTAAGTCGCGTGGAAGGTCATCTGAACCCAAAATTCATCAAACAAAGGATTACGCGACTTGGGGGCGATCCAGGTTACGTGCCAGGTTACAAGAGGCCATTTTTCAATTTCTCGCCATTTTTTTACATTTTGCATGTCTGATTTAAATCTCAAACTTTCCAACATAGTTTCTATATAAAAAAAACCCTCATCAATTATCAACTTAATTGGCCTTAAATGAAGAACTTATCATATTAAGAAGTTTGAAATTTACGGGGTGTTCCATGTATTGGGATCAATCTAGATCATCCAATACCCCTGTTATGTATACATAAAAATGGTCTCACAAAAGTGGTCATCAAAAGAATATAGATGGGAGATAAGGCATTGGTTATGCGCAACAGTTTACCCACTTCTGTTTGGGATTATGCAATATTACATGTAACTTCACTTATTCATTTGTAGACCTACTACTAGCCAACCACTCTCATGTGTACCAGTTAGTAATTGGATATTACGCATATTTTGTTGTGCAGTATATGTTGCAATTGCATGCACATAGCACACTAAAATGAGTCTTAAAAAGTATAAAATATATGTGTTGGATATGAATCTCCAACAATTACCTGCTATTTAGAAGCTTTGAAGGGTGATTTTTATACCGCATGATTTGCGGATTGTCAATTTAATGACATTCTTCCCGTCGTTAGAGGGAGATAAGAAAATGCATTTTCCAAGGGAACGACATGAACGGTCATGGAATATACCCAATCTGTCTCATTTTGATTCCCCCAAACTTCACAATATGAAGTTGAAGTTAAACGAATCAGACTCAATACCTGATACATTTAATATTATTCCAAAAGTGACAAGATCACACATACGAGCTGCAAATATACACGTAAGATAAAAATCCCTAAGCACTAGAAGTGCATTGCAATCACACATGGTGGAAGCTACTTGGTTCAATAGATATTGATCTAAAGAAAGAGAAGAGTAAGACACAACCATTTATCATCAGTACATAAACTTCTCATGAGATTGTCATGTCTATGAACCAAGATTGGAGGATGCTTCGAAGTTAATATTAACTCCAGATATCAAAGAAATCTTAAATGAATTATGAGAGTTCATATGAGTTGATGGAGAGATCATACATACTCATTGATGATATATTCGCATATACTATTGCTTATGAGATAATAGAGCATGATGGCATCGAACCAAGCTCAGTTGAATAATGTCAACAAAAAGCAAATTGTCCTAAATGAACAGAAGCAATCCAGGAGAATTATATTATTTGACAAAATGAACAGATATTTGGTCCGATAGTGCTAACCCACCAAGTGTAAAGCCTGTAAGATATAGATAAACCATTTGTCAGAAAACGTAATGAGAATAATTAAGTCATAATGTGTAAGGCTCTCCTCCGGCATAAGGTTTCTCATAACTCCTTGGATTAACAACGAGAAGACTTACTCTCCAGTGATGGACATTATTACGTTGTGCTAATTTATTAGCCTAGTAGTTTATGAAGGACTGGGAATGGAACTCATTGATGTGGTTACTACATATCTCCATGGGGATCTAGATTTAGAGATTTATAGAAGTGTTTGATGACATTAAATTACACAAATCAAGTAACTCTAAACCATAGAGTTCGTTTGTAAAAAATTTGAAACGCTTACTTTATAGATTAAAGCAATCTAGGCGGATGTGGTATTCCTGTCTAAGTAAATACTTGATTGGGATGTGATATAAGAACGACTATGCCCTTGTGTATTTATAAAGAAAACGAGTTCTGGATTTTTAGTTGTAGCTCTATATGTCGATGCTATGAACATAATAAGCACTCTTGATGAAATAAAATAAATCAAAATCTACTAGAAATATGAAGTTGAGATTAAAGATCTTGGGAAAACTTGGTTTTGTCTAGTTATTTGAGCTCGACCACCAATCTTGTGGAATATTAATTAATCCACCGATCCAAAATTATCAGACGATTTAACATGGACAAAGTGCGTCCAGCTAGCACTCCCATAATCAATTGAACTTGTTAGCTAGATGTACTTAGCACCATATCCATGACTGTGTATTATATTTCTCAATGAACTTGTTAGCTAGATGTAGATCAACACAACGCAACGTCATTGGAATGATGTCAAGTTAATCTTTTGGAGCCATTGACACAAGTTATGGAACTTCAATACCTACTTAGAATGTGAGTGGCAAAAGTACTAGCCCTTATATAGAAATACGAAACATTGTTTTGGCACGTCTTTGCTGATATTAACTATCTGTCTTAACCATACGAAGGTCATTCCCAAATTGGATAAGGAATTATAGTAGGAAACACACTGATTGCTTGGAAGTAAAATAAGCAAACCCTTGTAGCTACATCGTCGAACTATTCCAAGAATATTACTCTACATGAGACTTTTCAAAAGTCTATATGGTTAAGGACTATCATTACACATATTAGAGGAGCTAGTGGTTTGAGTTCAACCACTATCCTACCTGCATATATGAAAATAAACATCATGTATCAAGGAAATGAAAGTAAGATACATCAAGAATGATAACACAAAGCATATTCCACTTAGGTTTTATAGAATCAAAATAATAAACTGTCCTCGAAATTCAAGTGAATCAAGCGAGATGAAATAAGAATTTGACATATCTATTTACCAAATCATTACCTAAAACCATATTTGGGAAACATGTTGAAACTATTGGAATGCAGAGACTTTCCAAAATCCCTTGATTAATGCACGAATTAAGAGGAGAAGTAGACAAAATAGGGAGTCTACTATATATGAAATACTGGTATGTTATGCTCTTTCCTTCACCCAAGTTTTTATTTTTCCCATTGGATTTTGTTCCTTGGTGCAAGGTTTAGTGAGACAACAGTTTATATACCATGCTGCTTTCCTAACTCTTATGATAAATGTAAGAATTTGAGAGAATATTAGACTAACGAGATAGCAATCGTGTACCATCGTTCCCTTGACTCTGCACAAGGGGGAGTGTTGTAGGATAAACGATCCATCGTCAAAAAGATGTGATGATGGAGATAGACATGAACGTTTAGAGTTATTTATGGAGAAAATCTCCTTCCATGCTTATTACCATCTTTATGTAATCTCCCCTATTTAAAAGGTTTATCATTAATGAGAATATACATAATTTCGGTTTTCCTATATTCTTTATTCTTTAACACAAATAAGGAATTTTCCATTTTTCACCCAAGCAACAAGGCAGTGATGAGTATTATCCCATGGTGATTATTGATCAATCATCCAATAGTTGATGTCAATGATATAACAACTCGTCCCACATGGATATAAAATGCGATTTGAGCTTTAAATTGTGGGTTGTCAATAACTTCCACCTGTTTTAAGTTGGATTGAAAGTTATTAAGTTAGCATACTTTGGGGTGTTACAATTGATCTGTTTCAAGCTCGTCGACTATTCTCTCGCTTTTATTCATGTTGGGTAGAGATGGACGAGGAGAAGAACAACATGCAGTGTGGTTGGGTGGTCGCTACGGTGTCTAATGGTTTCTAGAAAGAGAAGGATGAAAACCATAATTTACCTTAATATATATGAGGAAAAAATTTATTGTTATTTACCAATTTTGCCCTTCACAACTTTTAAACATACATTTTGTCTCCTATCTATGTTATATTATAAAGCATTTGACAAAAACTCTTAATAGCCATTTTTATGCATAAAATATCGTTTATTGACGTACATTACTTAAAGTTCAATATTACAATTAAATTGTGCGTAAATATAGCTTATTAAAGCTCAATATTTGAATCTGTATAACTAACAACAGATAAACATAATCAAATAAGAATAAATATTTCATTTTAAATAAAAAAACTAAAAATATAATCAGGATAATCATTGAGTTATAAAAGAATACTTAATTGTTGTTTTTATAAAAGCTTGTATTATTAAAAAAAAATTACTTCGTTAGTAAGTCTAAATAATATTATAATAAAAAAATGAATTAAAGAAATTATAAAAAACGAGAAGTTTTAAATAGTTAATTTGATATTAATATATATATATTTTTTTCAAAAATTTAAGATTAAATAAAAGTAGCATGTGAAAATTTATTAGATGACGTCAAGTCATCATGCCCCTTATGCCCTGGGCGACACACGTGCTACAATGGCCGGGACAAAGGGTCGCGATCCCGCGAAAGTGAACTAACTCCAAAAACCCAACACGCCTGCACTTATATTATTTTAATGATTGTCAACGAAACTTAAAATCTTTCTCTTCAAATAAGATCTCAAATTCCAGCGATGATTTCATTAGAAAATTCTAATATTATATTCTAAAAATATTTAAAATAAAAAATCCAATTCTTTTTCATGGAAGAGACACGGAAAAGATCTGGTTTGGAAACACGTTTAGATCTAGTATCATTTAATTAAATTTTATATTTATGTTGACCAAAATATTCTATACAAGTTCATGACTAAGTCCTCATTTTTTCATTCATTGATACACACATAATCAGTAAAAATCGATCCTACCCATTTATGTATTTTAAAGTATCTAATCTTCAAATCCTCTTCTTGTTCTAACTCTAAGCAAGCCGAAGAGATGAACACACCAAACGGGAACCGACACCATCAAATTAACATCGTGAGTGCTTCACATAATCAACCATCACAATTACCACCATTAAATCTACCTCGTAGAGATCTACTCGATGGTAAATTGTTTCTATATTACTACGATTTTAGAATTCATCTCAAGTCTAACCCATCATTGTTAGAATTTCTTGAATCATCAATCAATTTAGAAATAAAGTGTCATCAACAATCGTTTGTGTTCTATATCAAAGATTGGGCATTTTTTTTACGTTCATAACATTTTGTTGTGAAGTTTCAAGTGTTAAAAATGGTGTTCATGTGTCTCCGAACCCAATCCAATATATGTACTTTGATTTTTGAAAATTCATCATTATATAATCATATTTATGTTTGTGAAGGTTCTTTTATTGTTCATTCGGTGTTCTTGAATAGATATTTCAATATTAGCTACAAATTTAAGTATCATATATGATATACAAATATCAATTTCCATTTGATGTGAAAACCAAAATCTGATATGATAATAGCTTGATTTTGGAATACTTTGAAGGAGGAGACGACTTCAATGCAATTTGTATCCCTTTGTATAAAGCGTTAACATCCAACGATTTTAAAGCTGTTAAAGTCATTCTTGACAAGCGTCCGATGCTGGTACAGTTTAGCATCACTGAAAGTTGTGAAACAATACTTCACATTGCGGTGCTATTGGGAAAATCATGCGTGCTTGTGCAATATTTGATGAGTTTGATGACAAAGGAGGACTTGGAACTTCCAAATGGAAGTGGTGAAACAGCCCTGTGTTTAGTAGCTAGAACTGGTAATGTTGAAATAGCCAAGATATTGGTGGAAAAGAATGATGGTCTGATAGATATCCCAAACAGTGAAGGAAGGTTGCCACTGCAAGTGGCAGTTTTATATGGAAGGCACGAAATGGTGGAGTATCTATATAATACTTCTCAAAGAATGACTGGCCATTTTTGGACACATCAAGATCGGAGTTGGGTTCTTGAGAAATGTGTTGACAAGAGTCTATTTGGTAAGTGTTTGGACAGCTTATTCATTATTGCATTTAGGTTTCGTATTCTAGGTACAGTAATTTTTCTATATGGATTTGTGTATTTGCATCTCTTTTGCTTTCAGATAGGATTTTCGGAATCTATAAAGAGTTGAACTTAGTGAAAATCTCACTAAGTATAAGTCTGGGCATGTGTGGTCAGAGATTTGATCATTAAGATCGTTAGTCGAAGTTTGCCTTGAAATCAACTAAGTACCTAACTCTGGACTTTGAGCCCTGGCTGATTGAGTCTTGATCAATGGGTTCGAAATCTGGATCTTGAGTCCACACTTGTGCTTTTCAGACTTAAGGAAAAATGACCAAGTCCTAAGTCTGAACTAATGCATCCGACATCTGGATCTTGAATCCTCACTTAGGTTCAGACTTGTGTTTTTCAGATTTCGAGTCAGACTTCTCTGATTCGGCAATAGCTACTCTTCAATCTTATCCATTAACGATTATTATAGTTACACTGCTTGCAACTGTCGATCGATCTCTCATTGAAATATGTAGAAATTAGAATCTGGGTATATAAAAACTCGAATTTCACAGCCTTTGAAAAAACATGGAAAAACTTAAGAATTATCCAATACTGAGTTCGTGAACCCACAGCTGTTAGGGTCGAATCATAAGTATTTGAAAAGTGTTTCTAACACGATTCTTGAGTTTATCAGGTCCCAATATTTTTTATGTTCGGGATCTCCTCTGTGTGGTTTTTTCATCTCCTCTACCCTCAGTTTTTAACAATTTCTAGAATTCTAGTGAAGTTTGGTTATTTAACGTTTTCTACTAGTGTGGTCGATCTTCCGCTTCATGTTTTGCTGCGATGGTTTCCACATGATATCGCGATGTTTTGGTTGTTTAGTTTTGTTGCCTTTATCATACATGTTTCTCATCGAGTGAGCATCAAATGATTTGTAGATCTCGCATTACAAATGGCAGTGGACCTTCCGGAACTCGCTATAAACGGGAGCATACTCAGACTACTGGCTCGAAGACCTTACACTTTTTATTTTTTAAAATTTCGCTGGTTCTATAGACTCAAAAGTTTACGTAAGAATCTCTACTCCTTTTGACTTGTATTATACTGTTTTCATTGTACACTCATGGCATAAGTATTCCCAATGAATTAACGTTTTCCAGTTGACTTATAATTACTGATTTCATACAATATTTTCTATTTTTAGTTATAGAATCAAATCCAACATTTTTAGGCAAGTTTCTGAGCTTTACAATTTTACGGCTTACGGATCGTTTACCAAACGGTTACAATCTTACCTAGTAAGTGAGGGAGCATCGGTGAGGGTGGTTATTCATGTCGTTAAGCGCTTATTGACAAAACGACCCCCTTTCTTTGTATTACTAACTAAAGTGTACAGTTTCAAATTTATAACCATTTTCTAATAACACATATGTAATATCATCTTCTTTGGTTTCTTAGTTAAAGGAGCCCTGAAATTCCGCTTTGATTACCATTGCAAAGGAGATGATCTCATCAAATTACTAGGAATGGTTTTGACACAGATTATGAAATTGCCCAAGGTTGAGATTGATGACATAATAAGAGGGCCACCTGATGAGACTACTACTAACACCGAGGAAGATGCAAAGCAAAAATACTCTTCCCGACTACTATTTCATGCTGCAGAGATGGGTAACACTGAATTTGTAGTTGAGGTCATTCGTCAATACCCACATCTGGCTCTTGATGTAAATGATGATAACCAAAGTATATTTCATGTCGCTGTCTTACATCGAAACGAGGGTATCTACAAACTATTACATGAGATAGACCATATCAGGAATTCGATAGTTACTCTCGAAGACAAAAATGGCAACAATATGTTACATTTAGTTTCACAAAGTACAATGGGTTATAGACGACTAATGGTCTCGGGTTTGCAAATGAATAAAGAACGCTTGTGGTATCGGGTACGTCTTTCTCTTCAACCTTTTTGGGCTACGCTATCTATACAAATATATCTTTCTTACATGTCTTAATCCCTTTCTTGCATGTTTTAAATGTATGGAACCTTTTTCTCTAAAACCATTCAAAATTTTGTGTGCATTTTCCTTCAGCAAATAAAGTTGACATTCTATTTGTATGTAGTATAAAATCCAACTCAAAGATGACATAGGGTATGAGAGAATACACCAAGATAACCATTGGTTATAGTACTTTTCCTTTTTGAGGCATTGTTGCATCCAAATCTTTTGATTAGATTACATGAATGAGAAAACAGAGATATATGTTAAGCACAAAAATGGGCTGATTCTAAAATAATCTGAACCTAAACTATTAATAATTTGAACCTAAATAATTTCGTTATACTTTTACAGCTTTTACACATACCACGTTGTTGAAATACCCTAAACACATGTAAAATTGTGGGGGCGTTGTCATATTTACAATGCTAAGGGATGGCCCTGATGGGACCAGGTATCATAAATGACCAATAAAACCTACAAATTTAAATTAGATTGGTTGTGTAGTATATACGAAATTGTTTGTAATGCATGATCTCTTCCATGATAATGATGTAATCTTTGTGATGCTAGGAAGTAGAGGGGATGCTCCCTAGTCATCTCTGTCGAAAGAAGAACGCAGCTGGTCTAACACCCTACGAACTGTTCATCAAGAACCACAAAGATCTATTTTCTAAGGAGAAAAAGTTGATGAAACAAATGGTGACCCAGTTAATGGTGGTAGAGGCACTTATAGCCACCATCTCATTTGCAGCAGTGTTTACATTTCCTGGTGGATACAACCAAACTACTGGTACTCCAATCTTACTCCAAAAAACCCTTTCCAAGTTTTTCATAATATTTGATAGCTTGTCATTTTTATCCTCTACAACTTCAATCCTAGTGGTTTTACATCTCATTATGTTTGATGGTTTTGCACATGCTCTCTCCATTTCATCCAAATTGGTCACACTGTGTCTAACATTGGCTTTCTTCTCTATAGCCACCATCATCCTCACTTTTCTTATCAACCTTCTCCTACTTTATCAGAATAATTATGATTGGTTGCCCACATTAATCCTCTGTTCCGCTGCAGTGCCCTTCGTGGTTTTATACGTCTTACAAACTTATGTTCTAAATGGCCATCGAACTTCTCTGTAATAGTTTTAGATTTTGTCCTTTTCGTGTGTGAAATTTCATCTAAATCGATGTACGTTTGTAAGGCTATTGGTTGAAAGTTTATAATTTTCCAAATGCATCTTGCATTTCAATCAAAGTTTCAAACTTCTTTTTATAAGATCTATCATATCGGGTTTCCATTTTTTGGTATTTGTGGGTCATTGGCCCACGGTATTCTGATTATGGTTAGATCCCAACCTTCTTGGAGATCAGTGGTTCAAGAGTCGACAAAGGTAAAAAGTCTGTATATTTGCTTGTGTTGCCATGTTTTAAATCCTCATACAATTTCCAATAGAAGACGGAAAAAAGCTCAACAAACAAAGATTGTACATGGGGTTGCTATAAAATTGAAGGGAGAATAAAAGGAGGATTCACGAGAGAATCAAACCCTAATAAGGGATTCTCCATTTTTCAACCATGCAGCATACAGTGGTGGTTGATGTCCCATGGTCATTTCTCCGATAGGTGTTGTACTCGTCCACAAGTGTCTCTCTTTTGTTCACGTTGGGTAGAAATGGTGCACATACGTAGGCTGATTGAAAACCTTACCACCACGTTGAGGAGAGATGGAGGGTTACGATGTTTGATGGTTTTTAGATGGAGAGATTGTGTAGAACAACGATTGGTAAGATAAGAGATTGGGAGGTTTATGGGCTGTTTACCTAAATGCTTATCCGGTAAGTACTTACCTTAGGAGTCAACATTATAATTTATTTTGTGAGTAAGATTTTTGTATATCAAAGCGTATTGAATGCAACAATTTACCGGGTAAGCGCTTACCTGAGTAAGAGTCGTAATCTTCACTTACCGGGTAAGACTCTCCATCCTTCTCATCGTTCTTACCCGGTTAAGATTCTTGACCCTTCTCATATTCTTCCGATAAATAAATTTTATCCGGTAAATACTTACTAAATAAATATTTAATAAACGGCCCCTAATGTTAGGCTTAGAGAGAGGAGGTTGTGGTGAGAGGGTTGATTTGAGAAAAAATTTTAAGGACAACTTTGATATCATGTGTCTGGATTGAAGTGATGACACTTTTTTTAATAGAAGGTTGGATTTCGTAATTATTAATATTTTTTTAAAATATATAATATGATAATTATTAATATTTTTCCTTTTACTGATAAACAATGCATGGTATAATAAATTGTGGGGGTATAGTTTTTAATTAAAAAAGTTGTTTCTTTTTTGTAATTGTTGATGTCACATCTTGTTCTTTATGCTTATAAAAAAATGTAATATAGTTTATTAAATGAGATTTTATTTATTAAAAATATAATTAGAAGATGAAAATTGTAACACCCCAAAAAGTGGGATGACAAGAGATCAGTTAAACGTTAGGAAATTGGTAATGGAATATCTAAATGTGAGCTTTACCTAAAAGGGAAAGTAAAATACGTCAGTTGATTACGTGTGTAAATAAATGATTCGAGGATAACAACCTCCTAATCTAATCCTCACAAAAACTAAATTAGAGTCGACTATCACTTAAACCGTCAAAAAAGGGGTCACAAAAGCTCCATACTAAAAGTTATCTATTGGTGACTGTTGACCGGGAAAATCTCCATAGCAACCCCACCAATAGAATCTAAGATATATACCAACACGAAACACGTGTTAGGCCAAAAAGTCTAGTGAAATTGAACATAACATGAGTGAAATGAAAACTAAAATTACAAAGTATTAGACTAACTTTTTTTTGGTTGCACCATAAAAGTTGAACTTCAACATGAAAATTGAATATAATTAATAAATATTTTTGGAGGTCAGTTCAATTCAGATCGTCCAAAAAAAGGTTTAAACCACATATCAGATTGAACCTAGCAGTATGGAATTTTTTTTTTACCGAATCGGATCTCTAAACCATTCAAATCACCAAAAAGCGGTCCACTTTAACTTGATTCGATCAGTTTGAACAGTCCAACGGTTTTTTTTTTTGAATTTATAAGATGACTGGTACAAGTATCGCCAACAAACGTTTATCCATTTTTGTATTAGTTCTTCGTAAGATGTCAAAACAACAAATGATTTGAGTTTGGAAGAAATCAAGAATGCAAGGGAAGCCATAAAATGCTTGCTAGTTTTATCAGTCAAGTAAACCATATAAAAACACAATATAAAGAGAGAGATGATGATTTAAAAGGTAGAACAAGTACAATATTAAGCAGAGTGTTCAAGTTTGCTGGTAAATAGAACACTACAAGAGGAAGGAGCTTTTGAGAATAAATCTTCAGATAAGCTTTTAGAAGTGTATCTAAAGCTACAGTATAGATAAGAATTTAAATGACAAAAATGAGAATCGTAACTAAAGGTTGGTGTAACACCTCCAAATCCATACATTGCATATAACACATATTTCAAACATCAAATACATGTTTTAAACCCACATAGGTCCATAATACAAGAGTCTAAAATACGAAATACACAACYCAAAAATTCCAAATACAAGTTCTTGCAAATGTAATTCCTATGCGTTTCTATCTTCCCGCATGCAAGTAAACATAGAATCATAGTATGTTTTTCCCCTTATCACTATAGCTGGTATTACCTGCACACACATAATTGAAACACACAAAATGAGGGTTAGACAAYAGTCTAGTGAGATCCCCCTTTTTCATGCAGTGAAGGGTGATAAACACCAAAACCTTTATCACAAATTGTGGCATAAAAACAGATTCTGCTTTGGTCCATCGGTCCTCTGGT